CCGTGGGCGAGGGCATCTTCCCCACAGCTACTCCAGTGCCCTCTCAGAGCCAGGGTTCTGGGAGGGAGGAACCAGGTGACTCTGCAGTCACTCTCCCTTGTCCCCACTTCAGCGGAATCTTCATCTGTGTGTGAGGCTCCTGCTTCCTGGTCTGGGGGGCCGAATCTGGAGGTGTCAGACACCTGGAAAACACTCACAGGGAAGAGACTCCCAGCCCTCTAAGGAGGCAGTGGAGAGGACCGGCGTTGGAATGAGATCTGGATTCAAGTCTTGCCTTACCTAACGGCTGATGGTCATGGGAACCCAAGCCAGCCGGCCTCTGCACACACTATGAGATAGGAGTTCTTACATGGTGGCCTCCTCCTGTCCTTCTCGATGGCGTGGGCTGACCCCTCTGGGTCAGGCCCCATTAGTGCCGTGTGGGACTGTGGGTGGTGTGTGATGGGCAGCGTGAAGGTGGTGGTTTGGTGGAACGAAGCTTGCATGATCAGTGGGTGCTGGTCACTCACTCGCCTCCCTTTGTCCTCGTTCAGAAAGTGTCCCCAGATGTAATTAGAGCCAGCTTCTGCCAAGAAGTGAGGGCACACGGCCGGGCCTGGTCACACAGTTGGGGAGAAACAACCCGACCAGCCCCAGTCAAGGCCAGTGTCAAGAAGCGGGAGGGAGCTGGAATGGGCCCCTGTGGCCCCCCAGCTCAGTGCCCCCCGCTGCATCCTGCCTCTGCAGGGTCTTGGATTTGAAAAACACCAAAGGTCAGACGAGGCCTTGAGGAGGAACCCTTACCAGAACCACGTTCATTCTAAGGGGCACTAACAGGCCTCCAAGACTGAAAGGTGCGTTCCTAATGGTGGGGTGTCAGGAAAGGGAAGGGCTCTCCTAGGGGCCAGGCCCATTTCTTCGAATTTCATCCCAGTTGCAACTCTTTAGTAGGGTATTGGTTCTTAGTCCAGTGTGTCTCAGAGGGCACACTGCGATCGCCTGGGGAGTCACAGAAATTCTGGTCTCCCTGGTCTGGGGTGTGATCTGGGCATGAGCGTTTTCAAAGCTCTCCCTCCTGGTGACTCTAATGCTCAGCCAGGTTTGCAAAGCACCAGCTGCAAGGGCAGCATCATCACTTCCATTCCAGATGAGGAAACAGGCCTTGAGAGGTTGAGTAACTTTCCCAAGGTCACACAGCAAGTAGTGCCAGAGCAGGGTCCACACCCTCATCGCCAGGGCTGGGGGGGCATGGAATCCTTTAGAAAATGGGTCATACTGGGCTGTCTGTCCCTCCCCCTAGCACAGTCCCCTGCATGCAGTAGCTGCTCAAGGATAGTTGGTGAACAGGGAAGATGGAGGGATCAGAGAGGGGCTGGGAAGCACAGCATGCAGAGGAGGATGCGGGTGTTTGGGGCTCCAGCCGCACCTCCAACACTTACCAGCTGGGCCTCAGGCTCCTTAGCCATCAAATGGAAGTAAGCATGGGTGCCCTGCCCATCTCGGAGGGGTGGAAGCACGTGCTGTGCCCTCGTGGGGGGCTGGCAAGGGGAGAGGGACCTGCCGGCGTGGACAGACATTCTGGTCTGGGGAAGTCACGCGAGCAAATCAGTGTCTGCGGCTCCTTGAGGCCAGCTGCTGGGGCCCTCTGCTTCCTGCAGCCTGGTGGCTGAAACCTTAGACTGATCCCAGAGCCAGACAGGCGGGCGGACGAGCGCATTCTTTCAGGGGAGGCCTCCTCCCTCTCTCGCGGGAGCAGGTCGGGAAGGGCAGGGCCTGCTCAGTCCTGACCGCAGGCTGGACTTCAGGCTGTGGGGCCCAGCAGGGCTTCCTGGGGACCTGGTGCGGGTGGGAAGGAAAGCCCCAAAGGCCATGGTCCGTGGCTGGAAGTGCTGAGGGAGGTGATGGGACAGGCTGATTCAAGAAGCCCCTAGGTCCCGGGGCTTCTAGCTCCACCTCTGGTTGTGGGCACTTCCATCCTGTTTCTGGGCAAATGCCTGCCTGTCCAGCCTCAGTTTCCCCAATGACTGCCACCAGCCTTGGAACCATACGTCAGAGGACTGGATCTTGAGCTGTGGGTAAGGCTGCTTTCAGTTTTCAAAAGCTATCAAGGACCACTTTACTGATCTGCATCCCCTAAATGAAGTGGCAGGTGGGTATGGCACACACATGGGCTCGCTTTGGACAGAGTGGCTGCAATGCTGGTCAACTTCTTTTAAAAAATGTGCTTTCGGGGCCAGCCCTGTGGTGTTCTGGTTGAGTTCAGCACGCTCTGCTTCAGCGGCCCAGGTTCATGGGTTCAGGTCTGCGGCGTGGACCTGCACCACTCATCAGCTGTGGCAGTGACTCGCAAATAAAGTGGAGGAAGATTGGCACAGATGTTAGGTCAGGGCTAATCTTCCTCAGGGGAAAAAAACAAAAAAAAAAAATTGCTTTTGGCATACTCCCACAGGAACGGGGCTGGACATGGGCCTCACTATGCAGGAAGGTGGGAGATGGGAGGCAGCACCCTTCCACAGCCTCCCTCTGCCCAGCAGGCTGACAACCTAGACCAGGGTCATGGGCCCTCAATTCTGCTCACGGGGGAGGGGTAGGGGGGCCATCTTTGGTCTCATTCTGGCTGCCAAATCACCTCTGAGGAGTCCGCCTTTTGGGGAGGTGAGACGGCCTGCTGGGAGTCAATTCCTGACTCCCGGTACATTGGCTTTGAGAAGTGCAAGTCTCTCATCATCCTGTATGCAGCTCCTCCTGTACAAACGGGGACCTCGGGGAGAGCTGTGAGGGTCCAATGAAACAAAACTAGGCCTGAGCGCTCGGCGTCAGCCCCCGCATCAGCTTTCCCACGTGTCCTGTGCCAGGCAGTGCTCTGCCGCCTTCCCGCGGGTTCCCTCTGACGTCGGCATGGTGGGGGGGAGGCAGGGGGCTCTCCTGGGCGTCCTGCCTGTTAAAGGAGCAAGGCCCCCTCTAGGTCCCAGCTGGACTTCCCGGGCCCTGTTGAGGTCTGAGGAAGGTCTGGTCCGCACTCTCAGTGCGCCGGCAGGGACAGAGGAAAGCATTCAGCATCTAGAAGATGAGCTCTCAGACCCTGGAGCCAGAGAGAAGCAGGTGATCTGTGAGCACGCCACCCCGCAGGGCTGCTGGCAGAACCATGGGGACGAGTCACTGCTGGGCTCCGAGTCAGGCCCCATCCCAGGCGTTCCCGGGCGAGCCCATCCACTGCTCAGCACCCCAGAGCAGGCCTGCTTCGCAGGGGAGGAGATGGGAGGTTGCAGGGAGGTCTAACTCTAAGCGAACAGGCCTGGTCTCTGCCCAGCTGCGGTGACCTGAGCAAAGAACTCCTCAGGGAAGGCTTGGACATAGCCTCAGGAGGAAGTGGGGTGTGAGGAGGACAGCAGCAGGAGCAGCCTGCTGGAGGTGGGGCCGAGTGCTCCTCAGGCAGAGAGGAGAGGCTCACGTCACTCAGAACCCAGGGGCTTGTACACCATTTTCTCCCTGGGTGATCACTCCCAAAGTTCTGTTTGCACCCATCTCTGGGATCTTTCCAAAGGTACGATGAGCCGCCTCCATTTAACCTGCAAGTCTAAGGACAGTGATGCGTATTTTACTCAAGACTCTTGATTTTAAGGGACGTAAACCCGACTTGAACCAGCTTCGGCAGAAAGGGAAAGCGTTACAATAATGGGGCATCTCCACATCTGGGGAAGGGTATGAGTGCGTCAGGTTTCCATGACAACAGGGACTAGAATTCACGCCACCAGGAATCTCGCTGTCATGCTTCCACTTCTCCCTGACCAGAGACCGGCTTCCCCCAGGGGAGAAAATGGCCTCTAACAGAACTTGGCATGACATTCCTTAGCTCCCACCACTAGATGGGAAAATCCCAAGGGGCGGCTCTGATTGGCCTAGCTTAGGCCACATGTCTGCCCCTGGCCAACTTGTGGGCAGGAACCAGAGCACACTGCTTGCTTGGCCTGTGTGTTGGAGCCTTAAGGAGAAGGGAAAATGGAGTGTGCAAGGCAGACATCCCATCTGAGGTCTACCACAGCAGAGGGGTAGATTCCTGGGCTCGACTGCTGAAAACTCGATTTCTGAAGGTCTCACTGGCTGCCAGATGCCGCAGTCAAGAAGGCACTGTCCTCCAGGTCAATTGAGCAGACATTTATTGAGCACCTACTAAGTGCAAGGCCAGTGCTAGGTGCCACGGGAAATACAGAGAGTGAACAAAGACGGTCCCTGCCCGCGAGGAGCTCACAGTCTAGAGAGGGAGGTCAGACAGTACAGTCAGCTGCAGGACTCCAGCCAGAGCAGCGAGTGCTGAAAGCGAGACACAGTGCTGTGGGGCCACAGAACAACAAGGGGTTGCTTCTGGTTGGAAGCCTTGGGCAAGGGTACAAAGAGGACTCAGGCGGGGCCTTTGAAGGGGAAGCCATTTGAGAGAAGGCATTTCCAGCAGGAAGAGGTCCAGGCAGAGGCAGGAGCCCACAGGTAGCTGAGGACGCGTGTGTGGCCGCAGTGAGTGTGTGCAGGGCTGTACAAAGTGAGCAATCGAGCACGGCTGGGAGGTAGTCAGCCAAGGATGCTAAACTCAGGGAGGGCTGAACTTGGTGCTCTGGTCAAGAGCCACCAAAGACCACTGAACAGGAAGAGGGGTGACCAGAAATGTGTTTTTGGAAGATAAACCTGGCAGTGCTGTGGTGTCTGGGGCGGAGCGGGAAAGAACTGTGAGGTGGGCTGACGCCCGCAGGGAGGCCATGAGAGCACAACTGGTGGGCCATGACAAGAAAGGGACATGGGGGGTTAGGGGATCTCGTAGCAGGGTGCCTGGGAAAGGACAGCAAGGAACAGACGCAGGGTGACAGTCTGGGGAGTTCATCTGAGGATGTCCCAGGGCTTCCAGGTAGAGCGAAAAACACACTCCTGAAGGGCAGGGCCAGAGGTGGGACTAGAAGTCACTGAGAGAGGGGACAGCTGGAGTTAGGAGAGTGATGATCCCTAAGGGTGAGTGCAGTGCCTCAAAATGTGGTCCTGGGGCCACCTGACGGGAATCATCCGTGGAACTGGCTAAGCTGCAGATTTCCAGGCTTTACCTGGGGGGTAGCGCCCAGTAATCTGCATTTTAGTAAGCACCACCCTCCCCGCCAAGCGTGCCGCGGCTGGTCCAAAGTTTAAAAACACCTGTCGAGAAAAAGAAGGGTGTTAAGGACTGGCCTTGGGTAAAAGGAGAAAAATGAAGAACATTTAGGAGAGACAGAAATCTCAGAAAATAGAGAAAATGAGGTCAACTCGGTCAAATGCCATGGTCATTGAGTAGGGACACTAAGATTAAAGATGGAGAAAAGGCCTCTGAATTCGGCAATGACATGTCCCCGATAACTTCGTCTAGACTATTTCCACATGGTGCAGTGGGCTCCAAGTTTACGAACTGGGAGGTGATGAGTGGGAAGGTGAGGGAAAGGGGCAACGGACAGAGGTGATTCTTAGGGGAAATGAGGTCACTTTATTTTAACCTAAAGGATCCGAAGTAAGTGGGGAATAATGGGGAGGTAGATAATGAAGAGATGGAGGGTGTCAAACTGCAGTTGGGAGATGAGAGGAGATAGCCCAGAGGCACAGGAGGGAAGGCCAGGCGAGAAGACGGAAGTGTTGGCGGAGAGGTGGAAGTGGGAAGGGATTCTCAAAGGAAGGCCCCATCTCAGAGGTGTGTGGGAAGCAGGCTGGGATCTGAGGGGAGAATGGTGCCAAGTCCCATCTTCAGTGGGCCCAGAGCCTGGGGCCATTTCCCACGGTTGGGGGAAGGGGCAGAGGACTTGGGGCGTGGGGTGGCGACTGCTAAGAGAAGCACGGAGAACATGGGTTTCTATGTGTGCATCATATTTCACAAGTGCCACAAGTCCAAGTAAGCAAGAAGCCACCCCTTTTCTTACTGACCAAAAGCTGCAGCAGGCCTGAGTCCCCGGCCACACCGCCAAGCCCCAGCTAAGCCTGCCAGACAATGCTGACCCGCCATCCAGGGTGGCTGAGATGCCCTCTTACTGTTTTCCTAGCTGGCAGCCTTGTAGAGTCTCAAACATGGGCTACTTGACAGAAAGGTCAAACACATCTGTCTTCTCCCAGAGGAGGCAGCCTAGGGCCTGGTGAAGAAGGAGGCTGGGAGTCACTCAGCAGCACCCGCTCGTTCTTTAACCCTGGACGACCTGAGCACCAGACCGCAGACTACTGAACAAAGGTGGCATCCTGTGCCCTGTCACCTACTTGACAAGGATGCCATGAAATACAGGATGCAGAGCCACTACACGTGGAAGCCTGAAGGAGCTAGGAAACGAGGAAGCGTGTTGCTGACACGCCCAAGGGGGGTTCGGAACCTACCACGGCAGGCAGACTATCTAGAAACATTTATGCAGCATCAACACTGAGCCTAGTGTGAAGGGAGGCTGAGGACAAGTGATGACAGCTTTTTTTTAATGGTTTGAAAACTGAGTTTTTGAATATTAAATTTAACTAAACTTGATGGATGTCAGAAAGAACTATGAATTACGTTTCATGTTACAATTTATCAAGGTAAGCAATTAATGCTTTTCTGTACTCCTCCCACCTTAGTCTTCCACATCCTTCCTTCCCAGCCCTGCGGCAGAGGAAAGGGGCAGGCAGCCCTCAGAAACAACAGAACACAGAGGTTTACAAAATTCAAAGGGCAAGTCACTTCCAGAGAAAAATCCTGACCCCCAGGCCTAACCAGCTCCATGTGGCATGAGGGGAGGCTCAGCCTCTGTCCAGGAAGACGCGTGGCAAAGCCGCGGCAATCAAGGTGCCCTCCTGGTCCTTGTCTGAGACAGAGGAGAAATACTGGATTGGCAAGGCTGCTAGACCAAACCCTGACCCAGAAATTTAGAGTCACCGCGAGGCAGCCCCAGGCCTCACAGGTCTGCTGTGCTTTTAGAAACCACCAGTTTGGAAGCTGAGGGGGCTGTGACTGAAGTCACTTCTTGGCCCTCCTCAAGTCTTCGACCTCTACGGCCACAAGCTGAGTGACCCAGGCAACTTGCCCCAAAGCAACAGCTGACAACTAGTTCCACATTGGGATGCATCTTAAAGGGATCCAAGATGAAAACATGACTAAAGGACAAGTCTAGCCACCTGGAGGACTCAGGCTTCATCACGTGACGGATGTAGGGATCGAATATGCCTGGAGGGAGCATCCCAGGGGCCACCCAGCTCTGCTTGTGGCCAAGAAAGCCCGTCACCACGAAGAACAAATCAGCATGGCGTCCTGAGAAGCTGTTCCTGGGGGTCAGGAGACACAGGCCACAGGGCAGATGCGAGACTGACCGGGAGCAGCCTGGGGAGAGAACAGGTACAAGATACAGAGCCCTTTGGAGGTCCAGAGAACAGTGAAGATGCCAACAATTAATTACCCAGGAAAAGAACTTCAGGGACACGGAGCGTGGGCAACACTGAAAACACAATACTAAGATGTCAATGCTGAGGAGGACGCACAGGCAGGGGGCTGGGAGGGCACCGCAGAGACAGACACAGGAAAAACAAATACAGGGGCTCGGGGCCCCCACAGAAGCTACTAACGCTATTTATTGGGCCATTCTTGAGAACAGAAAGCCACTTTTTGGCAAAGTTGCACAAACTTCACATGGGGAGTCTTCCAGGTTGTGGACACGAAATCACCATAATAACGGAGCTCTTCAATAAACTTCCTCACACTCCACTATTATCTTCAGAGGTTACGACGTGACTTCTAGAGTCAGGTCAGGTATGCGCGGCTTCGGCCTGGTGAGTGTGTCAGAGCACTGGACGAGGAGTCCGGCCCCTGCCTGGCCGCTCCACAGCTGTGGACTTGGGCATGTCCAGACAGCGAGCACCCTGACCCTCCGTTCCTCTTCTGTAGGGTGGGAACGGAAGCAGGGCTGGACTACATGGGCTCTAAAGTTTCTTTTAGCCCTGATACTCTGTGAGTCGAAGTTGGCCCTGGTCACCAAGAATGACTAGCACAAGGTGCCATCTAGCGCCACAACTTGTCCACTTCTACAAATGGCTCAAAGACCCACAGGAGCAGAACCCACACCTGCCAACGCTAAATCCAGGGTCAAGGGCAGAGGAGGCTGGGAGGGGTGGGCACACCTCATGTTAGTGGACGCGACATGGTCATCTCAAGAAAATATACTTTAAGAGGTCTTGCTTTCACTAAGAAAGCAACTCTTTTTTTATTTAGAAAGGCTAGTCATATCCATTTGTCAATATTTTCAGCTTTAAGGAAAATAGTTTAAAAAACATAAAAATGTAAATACACTCAAGAGTAACTGCTATTAAACAGTTCTGAACAGGCAGAAAATGTAGACTTTCCTTTTACAGAAAATGTTAAATCTGTAATAGCAGCATAATTTATATATAGAAAAAAGCTGGTTTTGAAAACCCAGATTTTTTATACACAAAACACCTGTTCGTTTTTCCTCTATATACTACAACAGTATTTCCGCTGGGAAATGGATTTCTTCACATTATGTCACTTCCTGCTGCCGTGTGCAGACATGAGCCCTGGGCGCCGGCCCCCGACGGCCTTCAATCCAGCACCAGGGCAGAGAGCGCGTTCAGGTCTTTCATGTAGGGATGGGCCGCCAGGATCTGGTCGATCTTCAGTCTCTGCTCCGAGTCGGGGAAGATCTTCAGGAGAGCTTCCCTCAGCTCGTGGGTTTCCGCAGGAGACCTCTGTGCCGGCACGGGCAGATTCTGCTGGAGACCGGCAAGGCTGGACAGAAGTGGGAAGCGGGGCTGCTGGGGAAGCCAGTGGCTGGGTGGTGTGCCCTGAATCCGGGCCGGAGGCTGGTGGCTGGTGCCGGCTGCCTGGGCACCAGGCGCTCGGAAGCTGGGGTCAAACACGCCCACATTTGGCAGGGCGTTGAGTAGGGGCTGCATGTCTCTGTGAACAGAAATGAGTCCTGGTGAGTTGGGTTATAAATGAAAAGGGAAACCTTTTTAAAATATCTGCTGCTAATTCAAGGCTCAAGACACTGTTTCCTGGCCTCTGAAGGCACGATATAAGACTACAGTGAAGGTAGGGATGGCAGCTGCCTACAGGGGACCAGGGGGACGCCATTGACAGCGTCTCCAGACTGGTGCTGACAGGGAGTGACAGCTCTTCACGGACTATTCCACCCCCTACCGTGAGCTCTGCTGCTATGAGCACTGATCCCAGCCAGCTGTTTGGTTCTAACCCAGGGTATGCCAGAATCACCTGGGAGCTTTCAAAAGCTATGGATAACAGGGTCCTACTCTTTAGGAGATTCTGATTCTATGTGGACCCCTGGTTGACAGGGCTTAGAAAAAGGGAACCCTTTTGAGCAGACAGGCAGCCCCCACCGATTCACATGTCCCCCACAAAGTCTGGGTAAGGCAGTGGCACCCACAGCTTGTATGCACATGGGTGTGAGTGTGTGTCTAGGGCATCTGTAGCATGAAAGAGCTTCCTACTGGACTCTGGCTTGCACCTGAGAACGGGGCTGGCTGAACACCTCCCAACTTCCAAAGCCCAACAAACTCCAAAAGTCAGTCCCTCTGTGAGGAGGGTTACTATTAACTTCTTAATCAATTAGTTAACACCTTTGTAAAGAACCATTAGATGAGCAGGCAGGACTACCTTGCTGCCAGGCTGCTTAAGGAGCCGGCGAACTCTCCTGCCATTAAGTCTGACCCACGGGCCTTGATACTTGCACACAGGCCTCAGGTCCTCAAGCTTAGCAGAAGACTTGCAAGCTAAGATGTTTGGGAGAAAAATGAGACATACTGACATCCAGCAGGTGTTAAAGATAGTTGCCATTCTCTCGGTGTAGGTAGAGAAGCAGGATCTTTGGGAACTAAGTTCTCATCTGTGTAGTAAACCCCAAAGGCCCAAAAGAGAAACAATTCACAAGACCAGGGAGCTGAAGTGGTGCAGGTCTCCTCTGCAGAAGATACCTCCATGTGAAGCCCACTCACCGTCCCCAGAATCCAAACCTAGAACCCCCAACGGACCCCCCTTATAAATGGAAAAGATCAACTATCAAGTCTCACTGCCTTAAAAAGCTGGAGGCGCTGTGCATCTTCCTCTCAGTTTAGACTCAGCACACCCCTGGGCAAACATCTGCTGGAAATGCACATAAGTACAACTTAATTTTAAA